TAAAGATAGAATGGAGTTTATCAGACAAGATATTCCAAATGATAGTGAAGAAATTGGGTCTTTTTTAAGTACGGTATCTCACAAAAATGAGTACATCCCTCACATTTTTGTAAATATTTTATTATATCTTTTAGAAATGACACTCTGCCACAATGTGAAGTAGTAAGTGTACAGCCTATGTAACAGAGTAAATTTGCTGTCCCCTCAAAATAACTCAAACACACAGCTATTAATGTCCAAACCGTTGGCAACAAAAGTGAGTACACCCCTAAGTAATACAATATTTACAAAGATGTGAGGGGTGTACTCACTTTTGTGAGATACTGTAGATCTGATAGCAACTCACAACAACAGGAAATTTTACAGGTTATTTCCCCAAAGCCTCAATCCCCAAGATATAGGAAAAGATGTACTATCATGCAGATGACAATTCACCCTGGGGTATGGATTCCCTCCAACTCCTCTAATCTTCTCACTCATGAGAAGATTAAGACAGGAGACAGTATACATCATCCAAATTGTTTAGTTTTGGCTATGCAGACCACGGTTTCCCCTTCTGCTGAATTTCTGCAAGGAACTCGAATTGCAGCTTTCAAATTTTCCATACCTACACAACAAGGTCCGGTTCTTCACCCAGATCCAGCTTCCCTCAATCAGATGGCATGGAGATTGAAAGGAAAAGGCTGAAAAACAAAGGTTTTTCCTGATACTGTTAAAAATCAGGAAACATTCCACCTTAGCCACATATTATAAAGTATGGAAAGTTTTTTCTTCATGGACAAATTCCAGACATATAGAGATACAGAAGCCCTTGACCAACAATGACCAATATGGAGTTCCTTCAATCTGGCCTCAATATTGGACTGAGTTATAACACTTTAAAAATCCATGGCACTTTGACGTGGATGTAGCCACATTTCTCACCGCAGCACATTGCCCCTCCATGGGATTTACCTCTGGTATTACAAACATTAAAAAGTCCCATCCTTTTGAACCTTTGGACTCTATTTCCCATCACTTTCTGACCATCAATACTGTGTTACAAGTGGACTTAGCTTCTGGCACAAGGGTATCTTCCAAGGGACCCTTCACTGTCTTCTACAAAGATAGAGTGATCCTAAGAACAATTCCTGAAAAAGCCCAAAAGTGACTTTTTCACATAACAGGAAATAAGGAAATACTGCTCCCAGCTCTGTAGTCTGAGGCTCAGGCTAGTGGGGAAGAATTGGAACTTTTCTCTATTTACTTGGTTAGTAGACATGTGCAATTCGTTTCGGGCCGAATATGAATTCGGACGAATTTCGGGAAATTCGGACATTCGGGTACTTCCGAATGTCCGAATAGCCGAAGTTCCGAAATTACCGAATTTCTGAAGTTCCGAAGTTGCCGAAGTACAGTATTCCCTAAGTACTAATATACTTACCCAATGGAAGAAGAAGAATGTTACACTGTATACAATTTTAAATAAAAAGTATACAAACATAGCCAGGAATCAGCTTAAGCATTTGCAACACTTACAACAATCAAGTAACATACATTCATATAAAATATATATCGCGCGTAGGGGCATGTCTATTAAACAATGAGCAGCCTGTGGCTGGTCACTGTAAAAACAAACAAAAAAAACCCCCAAAAAGGTCCCCCATCCACCTCCTAACCTGAAGGGGGGACCTATTGCCCCCCCGGCCCCCACCTCTGAACGGCGGGTGGGGGCCCTAAAGCAAAATAAGGGGGGACCTATTGTCCTCCCCCCGGCCCCCACCCATGAGCGGCGGATGGGGGCCCTAAAGTAAAGTAATGGGGGGGACCTATTGTACTCCCCCCGGCTCCCACTCCTGAGCGGCAGGTGGGGGCCCCAAATCAGAATAAGGGGGGGACCTAATGTCCTCCCCCGGGCCCCCAACCCAGAGCGGTGGGTGGGGCCCTAAATATGTATTAGGGGGGGACCTAATGCCCTCCCCCCTGTCCCCCACCCCTGAGTGGTGGGTGGGGGCCCTAAAATACTAATTTGTGCTGGTTTTTTGTTTTTTTTAAGTGCGTCGGTTATTATGGCTTTTTATTTGGCCTTTTTTGGGGCTGAAAAAAGAAGATTTTAGAAGAAAGAAAACATCAAATGGTAAGTTTTATTTTTTTTTCAGATACTTAGTTAAATGGTCCCGCCTCATTATTTGTAGGGTGAGGGGGGTAGGGAGGGGTTAATTTTTGGGGGGAGGTGGGTGACTAGGGGTTTAGGGACCCCTAGTCACTCGCAGGTGAGGGGGTTATTTTTTTATTTAGGGCCCCCACCCACCGCTCAGGGTTGGGGGCCAGGGGGGGAGGACATTAGATCCTCCGCCCTCATTCTAATTTAGGGCCATTAGGTCCAGGTGGAGGCCATTAGGTCCTCCCCCCTTTTTCTAATATAGCCCCACCCCCTAATTAGTATTTTAGGGCCCCCACCCACCGCTCGGGGAGGGTCCATTAGGTCCTCCCACCTTATTCTTTTTTTTTTTTTGACATTCTTTATTTTTCGGTTTCAGACAGGTAACATAGAAATCGTGTTATAGCATTGAACGTATATGAATGAACATTCGTAGAACAGTTAAACATTTAGCTTTTAGTAATGAACAGAACCAGGGATATTCAGTTCCATTTTGATGGGATAAGAGCGTGTTTCCGTGTTGGCTATTATTAGTGAGAAAAAGAGAAAACGTGATACGCGTTTATGGTTATTATATTGTGTATTTTTAAAATATTAAAGTATATTTGGTGACTTTTAATTGTACCACTTATCTTTTAATACACGTTTATTTACATTTTACCTGGCATCCTTTTATCTCACCGCACTCCAAGTAATCCTAGGTGGGGATTATACCACCAGCGCTAACAACAAGGAGCAGTTGATCTGCTCCTATCTTGTGAGTACCCATTTTTATTATATTATTTTATCTAAAAGTTTCTTATCAAGAGAACACTATTGGCTGTTTATTTTTACCCGAGTGCTTACCATACCACGGACGTAGGAAACAGACAAAGGAAATTTACTTCATATCCCATAAGCGGGGATCAAACCGCTGTACTACTTTCACACCAGAGCGGGTTCTAGCTCTTTTAAATGTGAGTTTGCATTCCAGATTTTTATACTTTTATTTCCTCAACTATCAAATATACTACACTATTGGCTCTCTATTTATTTTTTTATCTCTTGCATATGAGCTGATCCATAAGGAAGATATCAATAAGGACAATAAATCTGGTCCAAGTATCGCCATATAATACGACTTTCTCTTTTTATTCATTTATTTTATCTGGACTATTCGTTTTATACGGAGTTTTACTCAGCGCAGCCCTTACTTTTATTTTTTCTCTTTGTTTTATGTCTAAGGGTTTTTGAGGGATTCCCTTATAGGGTTGCTGCTACATTGTGTTATAGCACTTACTCATTGCCTTAGTTTTATCTATTATTAGTGTCTGTGATTGTGAGTTTTTAGGTGTATTTATACCTTTGCATTTACTTTTGTAAGAGCAGGTAGGGTGGATTCTCAGGTAGAGTTAGTGCTGTTTGTGTTAGGATGTCTGTGTCTTCATTTTGCATCATGACTCCTGGTCTTGCTATATTTTATGTGAATTTTAATTGGTTGTGAGCATATTCTGGAACTCTAAAAAAGAAAATGCAGATAGTGGAGCGCTGATTAAAAAATAGAACGAGAATAGGGAAAAATAGGAGACCTAACAACCTATGCAATATAAAACACGGAAATACATAAACCCTTTCTCTTCTGATAAATAGTCACTAGTAGGTCTGTGACCTTATTAATACACTTCAATAACTTGAAATTACATTTATTAATAATCTAACATCACAAAATATAAAAAAGAGACTTCCTCTGTTACAAAAATTTATATATCCATAAAATCATTAAAAAAGAGTCCAGACCTTATTAAGAACTCGGTGTCCCGAGTCAGCGAGATGTAAAATGCTGAAAATATATATCAAATCTTGGTCCTCTTTGAAATAAAAAGTGATGGCTGGTATTGATAGGAGTCAGACCTCTCCAGACGCGTTTCTCAATGGATGCGGTCTGTCCCTTAATGTTCGTTTTTATAGTATCCTCATCTTGATTTCAATCCTAGCAAATCGTTGATTGGCAATACATGTTGCAACAAAACAGGTGTTCTTCAAATAGCTAACGGTCATAAAGTATCGGACGCTTTATAAAAATTGCAAATTGTTATTCCGTTTTGTATTCTATGTTTATTCACGTTACTATAGTATGATGAGGCCTTTTTTGTATGTCTTCAGAGGTATGTGTGTGTGGTTTAGCAGCATCGGTAGCGGCTGGAGAGGGATTTTCGTTACTCGTGATTTGTTTAATTGTTCGATGTATCATTTGCCAGTACGGTACGATGTGAGAGCATGTCCACCAGATGTGTAGTCCCTCTTCTGTGCCGCATCTCCAGCATTCTCCTAGGATCGATTCATGTACGTGCCGTAGGACGTCCGGGGTCCTGTACCAATGTGCCAGTATTTTATAGTTGCATTCTTGAAATTTAGTGCTTATGGACCCTTTGTGCGTCAATTGGAAGATCTTTCCCCACTCGAGGTCTGTTAGTTCAACCTCCATCTCTCTTTCCCATAGCTCTGTGAAGCTTAGAGGGCCCTTGTCCCCGTTATTCTGTAGTGTGGTGTATAGGGGCGATACGCCATGCGCGAGGTGTTGTCTGGCCGTGCAGATGTGTTCTAGGTGCAGCAATGGGTGATGTAGGTGATCCTTGCCTTTCACGGCGTTGACGTATGCTTTTATCTGATGGTAACGGAATTCGTCCAGCCTGTTTGGTCTATGGTCTTGCAGCAGTTCTGCCAAGGTCTTTAGATTCGGTCCGTTACACCATTGGCGTATGTGTACCCAATCCGTTGCTGCGAAGTTCCTTAGATTGGCGGGACTAAGCCCTCCTGCCAGTTTCGGGTTGTTAGTTATGGGTGTGAGTGGGTTAGGGGACGTCGTAAGCTTCTTGGTGTATCACACTCTGCACCAGACCCTCAGTGTGGCATCTATCATTGGATTACCTGTGTACATGTCCCCTTGTGTTGCTTCTCCTATCCATAGTAGGATGGGGATCTTCCCCTGTGCTTGCTGTAGTTCCATGTTAACCCATTGTTTAGTGCTTGGGTTGGCGTGCCAGTCGACTAGTCGATGGAGGTGCATTGCTTGATAGTACGTGATGATTGATGGTAGTCCCGTGCCTCCTTCACTATTTGGCCACTCCAGGGTAGATCTCCGTATGCGTGCCGGTATTTGGTTCCAGACGCACCGTCGGACGGTAGTCATTAACGCCTGAAAGAATTCACGTGGGATGGTTGTGGGCAGCGTCTGGAATAAGTATAAAATTCAATTGGTATATATGTGCGGTGTCTTTTGGTAGCCAGATGCCCAGATAGTGTAATTTGGTTGTGCACATTTTGAAAGGGTATTGTGTTAGTATGTGTTGCAGGAGGGCGGTGTCTTGAGCGAGCAGCATCGCCTCCAGTAGGTTTGGCGTCGATATCCTGGGTTGTTCCAAGAAGAAGAGCATGTCATCGGCGTATGCCGCCACTTGGTGCTCCCGCCTATGCGATGTCCCATGATTTCTCCGTCTCGCCTGACCGCTTCAAGAAAGGCTTCAAGGGTGAGGGCGAATAGGAGGGGGGACAGGGGACAGCCCTGTCGCGTGCCGTTGCATATGTTAAACGAGTCCGTCAGTGCTCCATTGACCTGTATGCGTGCCGATGGTGTATAATGCAGCCACCTAGGTCCGCAGGTGTGGCCCGAAACTCATGTGTCTAAGGGTCTCCACCATGAAGGTCCAGTCCACCCGGTCAAAAGCCTTTTCGGCGTCGGTGGACAGTAGCACCATGTCCCGTTTGCTGGCCGTGGCTGTGTGGATAAAGTTAAGGGCCCGGATGGTATTGTCCATGGCTTCCCTCCCGGGTATGAATCCGACTTGGTCCGGGTGTAACAGGTCTGGGAGCGTACGTGCAACAGGTCTGGGAGCGTACGTGCAAAAAAAATATGCAGAATGCTACACCAGATACATTTTTAATTCAATGTGTCTGAAAAACTTATATTTTTAAGCTCTCCACTTTAGCAATATTTATTATATATTCAGTGTTTACAACAATTGGATGCTTGTATGTTTATATAGCTTAATTGCACTTTAAGCACTTTTATATATGTAGTCACATGTCACTTTAGCACTTGGCACATTAGCACTTTGCACATAATTTATTTGTAGAAAATTGCCTTATTATATAGGCAGCTTTAAAATTTGACATCATTAAACACTAGATTCACAGCTGTTGCACATGTCACTATATTTATTAATATTTAACAATAACTGTATAAGATTAGTATTATAGTTGCACTATATTTATTCTGACTTGATATATTCACGCTGACAACTGCTATGCTTTTTTACACTAGTTGTCATGTAAAACAGATGAACACACATGGTGAGGATAGTTTTTGCTACACGTTGCCATGGTGATCGCTTTTGTTATATTGCGTCACCATGGCAACGATGGTAACGTCACATGGTGACGTCACGTAAATAGGCGGGGTTTATGCCGCGCATGCGCAGTCTAACGGGAAGAACGCCGGTTTCCTCACGAGCAGCACCTGGGGTGAGTCAATTTATTAATATTACAATTATTGCATCGTTTATATATGATATGTTTTTTAATGTACTAATGATCCTGATGAAAGTCCACAAGATGGACTGAAACGTTGGTCTGTTTTAAAAGTATCTGGAATAAAAGTAAATTTTTATTGAAAATCCGTGAGTGCAGCCACACTACCTGTGGTAGTTGTATAAACCAGACTACTAATTTTGCCCTCATAGTCCCTAATGCAGCATTCATGTTTACTTGCATTTTCAATGGCTATTCAAGCCCAAGTTGTATTGTGCATCTTTTTTTTTTTTACTTTTTGCCATTAGTGTAAATGTTCAAACTTGTATGTTTGAACATTGCTTATACCCTTTGTTCATGCTTTCTTTCATGTGCAGAGCAGATTATGTGAAATCCGTGTCAACCTTTACATGTGTATCTTTTCCATTGATTTGGAATCTGACCCAGATTCATTACTGAATCACTGTTATTGAGTGGATTTCATGAAACTTGATTTTTAGTGAATTTCATTTATCTCCAAGACAATGAAATATTTATTGGTTGCAACATGGGTGCACAAAATGCAAGCTAGTATCCTCTGCACAAGAGATGCAGCACCTAGATGTGTTTCAGCTTTCATTTGGCTTTCTCATTGATGTAGCTAATAACCTTCTAGTTACGGTGAATAGGAGTTGGATTACCCTTGACAAAATCCTTGTGATATAGAAATACTCTAACCTAGGATGTTACTGAACAGTATGTGCAGAGAAAAACTCAATTATTATGTCTTTCGGTTAGTTCAAGTTGAGGTCACTTGTCAGAAGCAAACTATACTATTTGAATATCAGACAAATCTCACCACAAAGGCAATCCAGAAGTAAAAATGCAGGCAAACCCACTCTGTGTGAGAAGTACAGCAAACCCAAGTGATCACTTCAGCTTTCATTGTGCCTAAAATTAAAAGTCTTTGTTTTTTGTTTTCTTTTTTTTTTTTTTACTAAAAACAACAAAAAAGAACTCATTATACATTATACAATCTTTAACATGCATTTAACAGCAATATTACCTAAAAGATTGCATTTAAACTCTAATATCACCATTTTGAGTTATTCATCAATACAAATTTTTACACACACAAAAAAAAACAAAAAAACATTTAATACACTCTCCCCCCCCTCTGCCTCTCTATCTTCCTATACCCTTCCTATTCGCATAAACCTTCCAGGGTTCCCAGACCTTACCAAACATATAATAAGAATGTCTTACTCTAGATGATAATTCATCCATTATATAATTTTCTTGAATCTTTAATTCCACCTCTCTCATCGATGGTAAATCTAGATTTATCCAGCTAGCGGCTATACATCTACGTGCAGCCAATAAAATTAAAAATATTAATTTCTGCAAATGGCAGGGTATACCTGCTATTGATTTCGATAGCAAAAATATCCAAGGATTGAGTTCTATATTTCCCTGTATTATCACTTGAATTAGCTCTCTTATTTCCTCCCAATAGCTTTTAATCTTTTGGCAATCCCACCACATGTGTAAATATGTCCCTTGTAAACCACATCCCCTCCAACAAAGATCCGTCAGATTTTTACCTATTTTGTACAAAAAAAACAGGGGTCACATGCCACCTAAATAATATCTTAAACATTTGTTCCTGCGAGATTACACAAATCGATATTTTGGATGCTGTTTCCCAGATATCTATCCAATCCTTAGTTTCCAAAGAAGAACCTAAATCTGCCTCCCAGTAGGATATATACTTTAATGGAGCCCAAACCGTAGGTTCCTCACTTAGTTGATTATACAAATCAGAGATAAAACCTCCCTTTAACCTACCTATTTTGCACATTTTTTCAAAATTAGTGAAGGGGAATTTAACTGCCGTTTTTACCTCCATTGAATACGCAAAATCTCTAATCTGCAAATAACGAAAAAAATCTCCTGTCCTCAGTTCTACTCTGGTCAACAAACTAGAAAATAAAACTACCTCTCCTTCTGACCAAAGATCTACATATCTATAGATTCCTCCTGCCTTTAAGCCTTGAAAATTGTGTTCTTCCATACCAGGAATAAATTGTCTATTCCGAAAAACAGGGGTCATGGGTGAAGGGAAATTAGTTAGACCATGTTTTAACTTAAGTTTATCCCAAATGTGGAGGGAGTTTGCCGTAGAAGGGCATATTTGTTTCAACCCTGGTCTTGAAACCTTATTCAACCACATATACAACCCTGGCGAGTCTGGTGTCATTAAATCTTCCTCCATATCCGCCCATCTGTATTTCCCTTGATTTGCATGCCAACCAACAATTTGAGCCAATTGGGCTGCATAATAATAAATAATTAAATTGGGGAGACCTAGTCCCCCTTTAACTCTCGGTCTATACAAGAGAGTTCTAGCTATCCTATGTCGCTTGCCCTGCCAAATAAATGTGTCTATAGCTTTCTGAATACCCAATAAGTCCTCTTTACAGACCTTTATAGGCAATGCTTGAAATAGAAATAAAAGCCTTGGTAAAATATTCATTTTTATAGAATGAATTCTGCCAATCCATGAAATTGGCTTATCATGCCAATTCTCTAGGTCCTTTTTCAAAGTTTTAATCAAAGGTACATAGTTGTCATTAAATAATGTATTATAATCGTATCCAATTTTAATACCCAAATAGCTTAGAGATTTATCTATACTCATTTCAAATTTAGTTTTTAGCTGGTCTTGTTCTATCTCAGATAAATGAAAAGGCACTCCACACGATTTATTATAATTTACCTTATAGCCTGAAATGGCTCCAAATTGTTCTATCAACTTAAACAATTCAGGGATAGATTCAGAAGGGTTTGCTATAGAGATTAAAATATCATCAGCATAAGCCGCTGTTTTATAAATCTCCCTCCCTATTTGAATACCCTGTATATTGCCACTTCCCCTGATATGGATCAGAAGGGGTTCCAATATAAGTGCAAACAAAATAGGAGAGAGAGGGCATCCTTGACGTGTGCCATTGTATATTCCAAACGGAGTATTAACTGAGCCAGGGAGCTGTATTGTTGCTTGGGGATTTGAATATAATGCACGGATTATAGTAATGCAATTGACTGGAAAGCCCCAATATTGAAGCAAATAAAATAGATAAGGCCAGGCGACCCTATCAAATGCCTTTTCTGCATCTAATGATAAAAGTATTGATGGTGTCTTCCCTACTGCCATAACCCAAGCAACATTAACTGCTCTACGTGTATTCTCATACAGCTGTCTACCTAGAACAAAACCTACCTGATCTGGATGAATCAGAAAAGGAAGTAGGGGAGAGAATCTCAGGGCAAGGACATTAGCTATTATTTTTATATCAACATTTATTAATGATATAGGCCTATAATTTCCCACTGAAGAAGGGTCCTTATCTTTTTTTGGTAAAAGAACAATTTTAGCCATTGTAAGGTCGGCTGGAAGAACTCCGCTTTGACAAATTTCATCTATGACCTCTTGTAAATATGGCATAAGAGTGTGTTGAAATATTTTATAATAACTACTACTAAAGCCATCTGGCCCTGGTGCTTTACCCCCCTTAATAGAAAAGCATGCCGCTTTAATTTCCTCTAAAGATATTTTGGTCCCTAATCCTTCTAAGGCATTTTTAGGGATTTGGGGTAAATTTATCTTATTCAAAAATTCTC